ATTATAATATTTAATTATAATTTTTATAATTTACGTAAAGAAAATTAAATAGAATATGCTATGCAAAATCAACATTTTTGTTTACATTTTAAATATGATTGCTTGATCATAATTACAATGTATGACATCGGAAAAATTTCCAGTAAAAAAAACCGATAACCACGATTTTTCAGGTCTGGCGAATAATTTATGGAGACACGGCGGCCCTACCGCGGCCTTCGTACACCTTTGCACGGCCATGTGCTTCCTCCTGCCCTCCCTGCTCATGGAAGCGCGGCTAATACATGCTGGATTTCTGCCAAAAGGTAATATAAATGTCTCTGCATTGCTACTCGTTATGTCTCTTCGGAATTAGGTTAAAGAGGAGAAAGATGTTTTCCTTCAGATATCATATAGAAGAAATAATTGATTTCGCGTCCAATTTTTTTGATCGTTTTTTGTCAAGCTAAAATCAATCTCTTGCAAATATGGTTTAAAATAATATCCTTTCACTTATGTACATTTTTTCAGTTTTTTGTTGAAAATAATTCTTGATTCTTTTGATGTTAAAATTTTTGTTTTGATTTTGATGTTGGAAATTTGATTTTTTTATTGGTCTGAAAATTAAACGTAAAGATAGATTTTATTCCATTTGACTAATTAAACTTTTCCCTTAATTCATGTAACGTTTTACGAGCTTAAATGATGATTTTCCTCTGAAATCGAGCTTTCTGTCAAAAACAAATAGTATTCCTTCATGTTACTTTAAAAGCACAGTTATATCATTTTTCCAAGCAATATTGAATAAGTAATAATCTAGCTCAGTCGAGTCGAAACTCGAGTTAAAAGAAGTAAGCACATACTTTGATGTACGACGATTTTACGCTCGCTGAGTTTTCAAGGAGGGACACTGCCGCAGATATATGATGCGAAGGAAAACAATGAAATCCACGTGAGAAACCAAGCATCTCCCCGCGATCACTTTTCCGGACCTTTCCATTTCGCGTACGCACCCTCGCTTGTGCAAACAATGAGGGTTCGGCGAAGGGAACATTTCTCCTATTTGTTAACGCAATATACTCTCAAGAGTAGCACTTCTCTATTTTATCAGTTTACACATACAAATGTTGTTTATGACATTTAAACAGAAACTCTAAACAGATAATTCGATGAATTCTATTATTTTATTAAATTAATGAAATTGTTGGATAAACGCAAGAAAGAAATTTCTCGATTTTATCTCTTACGTTAATGAGACATTATATCTTTTTAAACTATTTTAATTTTCTATTGGGATTTTTGACTGCGACTTTTTTCTTTTAATATCTAAAAAAGTTATTGCATTTATCTAAGATTTTAGCCATTATACATATAATAAACATATTGTTTTTTTAAATTAATAATTTAATCTTAACATATTCTAATATTATTCATATTTAGCAATAAAACTCACAATAAATTCTTGTCATTTTACATTTTTATGTTTCCGAGTTTATAGAAACTGCGTGATATGATAACGTTTATAGCTCCATAAACAGAGAAAAGACTATCTAAATGTTTTACTATTCCCGCTATAACTTTATTTCATCAGTTTCTCTGTCTCGTGATTTATTCAATTTACTTTTAAACGTTTTTATTTAATATCAATAATTTAGAAATTCACGACCTAAATATTATTGATATAGAGCAAACCACCATCTCGTAAATTTTGCTTTGACTAATAGATAACGAGCAGTAATAGATAATTTATGCAATTTTTTCGTGTATGCCCGACAGACAATAATTCATCCATAATTGAAACATCATCAAAAAGTCATATTTGTTCGAATAAATAATTCGTGTCCGACGTACGTTATTATTACCGAAACAATAAATATATTCACCATGAACGTGAATGAGCGGATTAATTTTCTGTCGGATATGTAAATGCGCGCGTCTCAAAAATTGCGCTGCTCTTGCACGGTCAAAGTTTCCGCGTCCTGTCCACCGGCAGAACGATAATACCGAGTCGTTCTCGACTGCGGAAATATCATCAACTGTCGAGCAGAAGGAAAGTTTCTACATGGTTTCGTTCATCCCGCCGGCGAACAGTCGTGCCGGGCCTGAATAAATGCATTTCTACGTCGAAGCCAAACTCGATAAGCCGCGATTTACGGCGAGGTTCCCTGATGCATAAAATGAGGAATTTAACGGGCGGTTGTATCATTTTATGCTTACAAAGTTAACATATATGGTGGCACTCTGATGTCATGTTGAGATTCGTGCAGAGATATCAAGACTAAAGATAAATTTTCTAAAAAAAAAAAAAAACCCGCCGCATGTTATTTTCAGACATCTGATCGTGAAGAAAATATTATTGGAGACACATGTACCTGCATATGCGGAATATATAATTTCTATTTAAATTTGTATAAATTAACCGGAAAAAATATATTAAACTCTTTATATTTTTATTTATATTCTTTACATACACAATTTGTTTGAATAAAATTATACAGCCATGCGTGTCACCTGCAATTAAATATATTTATATAAAAAATATTTATGAATAAAATCAGCAGATAATAATATTGTCTTTGCTTTTTTGATCTGTCACATGTTGCACATGTGACAGCATGCAATATATCTTGCAAAAAGAAATTTTCAAACAGACACAGCAACTGAAGTTCGCGAGCAAAACATACATGGTAGTGAAATCATCGTTGTCGTACAGATGAAGGTGCGTAGTGAAAATTATTCATCCCTCCAAACATATATAAACTACATTAATCTGTATATGTTTGTACTCCTTCCTTGGCAAAAAAATTACTCTTTAAGACACTACAAAAAGTATTTTTTGGATGAAATCTCGAGCTGAGAAGTTGCAAAAGTAAGATATATGAAACTAACTTATAAAGAGAAAAAAACGTAAATTTTTAATAAAATGTCTGCATGCGTATATATAAGTATATTAGCAATATTTTTGCAACTAACTTTAATATGTCATCCATGAAAAATACGATAGATTACGTATTCATAGCGTAGAAAATTTATATATAAGCTACGTTAATTTATAAATACTAGCAAATACCGCGTTTTTACAGCGCGACACGTTGATGAAACGAGACTGAGCATTTTCCACGGGGGATTGTAATTAAATGCCGGAAAATCAAGTTTATAATCGCATTTCTACGTTTTCCAATTCCGAGCTTCGCGTGACAATTTTGAAATATCGATACAGACTGGCAGCGCGCGTTTTGGACTCTCTTTAGCCGCATTAGTCCAGGGGTCAATATACGTCCGCACGTCGAAGGGTATCCAACGTTTAATGCACCGTCGGCGCTCGCAAATAGGTATCATTCGCGGAGCGCATTAAGCTTGCCCGTAATTATAGCGAAGTGACGTACATACGTTCGTACTCCCGGTACTGGATGGGATGTCAGTGGTATAATTCTCGTCCATGTATTCGCTCCGTAACACATGCACGTGCACGCTCGAAGCTCTGTCGGGGAGACTTGTGATCCGACTGAGAAATATTTTCTTGCCTTCCGTTTTTCCGCTGACTTCTCCTCCGCTTAATTACTAGCGATGTCTCATCCGACACAGAATTGTTCACGAAATTAAAATCTTTCACTCGGCGGAACTCCCGTTTGTATAAACTAGATAGAAACTGCGCGAGAGAGTTCTCCGTCCTTCGTGTCTGCAGCCGACTTTTTCCTCGGCTAAGGATTAATTATAGACGGAAACGCAAACAATGTCAAGTGCCAAGAACATTTTTCATATTCTCATACTTCTTGTACATTTTTTTCGTACTTTTTATTACACTCTCTCTATACATATATAATGTATAAATTTTATATTAATTACAACTTTTTTTGAAACAAATATTTATTAAACTGTTATTAGCAGTTCTTAACGCGTTATAAATCTTTTTTCATGTCATTAGACTTTTTTTCATTTTTTTATAAAACTGTGTAGTCGAAATTGATAAATTTATTTAAATCCTTTTCATATAATTACGGCCGCTTCAAAAAATTATTTAATTTACAAAATTACATATATAATTACACATTATCCAAATTAAAAATGAACAATTACATAGTTATACATTATTTTCTAATCAGTATTGCACGTATACCCGCAATTTATCATGACTCCGTATGCGCGAGCGTCAGAAAACAACGGCTTCTTCGCGAAAAGAGCAAATTGTAACAGTCTGAAGAATAGCGAGATAAATTACAGTACCCCGTTTAACCCTCTGCTCTCCGTAATTAATCGTACGTATAACATCCAAAGAAATTCAAGAGCGAGAAGTACGAGGGGAAGTTGGTCATATAGATCAGTCTTGGTACAAGTTTGTGCTTTTCTTTACTAGACATTAATCAAATTCTGCAATAGTAATTACAGAGCATCGGAGACATATCAGATGACCCAAAAATAGTATTTTATTGCTTCTCTAATAAATTAGCAATTTATTGATTAATCTGAGATTGATTTTATTTTAGCAAAAATTCAATCGGAGATCAGTTCGCACGATTTTTATGATCACATGTAGTCTAATAAAATTATATGATATTTGTGGAAAGAAACCTCTCGAACTTAACGATAAATAGTACATTATTATATCGCGAGTTGAGTAAGTTTAGCGTAGGAAATTTCGCTTATAACGCTTATAACGTCCCGATTTAGAAGAGCAACGTAAATATTGCTAGCGAGAGATATGACACTTCACGGTTTTTTTAGGAGGCGCGCGCGAAAAATATCAAAGCGGAAGCGGAACTTGTGCATAGAGTAGAAAACTATGAGAACCTCTGGTCTGGCGTGATCAAAACTTCGGCCATCGCACGTGAGTTTGTGCTAGTTTAATGCTCGTATTACGCAAGACCATGTTTACGTTTACGAGAGTTTAGCACGGGAAGCACAAAGTGTCTCGACGAACCCTATTCACGGCGCTCGGCATATAACATATTGCACACGTCGGGGACGCTTCCAAGGAACTATCGCCGCGTCCCCTTATCCGGTTTGTGTCTCTTCTCTTCGCCGACTAAAATTAAGTTTGTCGTGGGTGCGAATTCCGCGCGCTTATTTTGCTAAATAGAAACTATGGGGTATACTCTACATATCACGTGCGCGAACATGATTATATATCTCGTCAATCCGATTTATCGAAAGGACCAAACTTGCCGACGCACAATGTTTATGCACAGTCTATACGTGTTGCTGCAACTATGAACTTGCAAAGCCGTGCTTTCGTAACTCTGGCATGCCTAGAATAAATATGAATGCACGCGTAGATAAGAAACTATAGTTGCGCTTATTATGGCAAAAATTGGATGGACATTTCTCG